GAGGAAAAAAAGAAGGACATGGGAATACAGAGGAACAATGAGGAAAAGTGAAAGCTCTTTAATGTTCATTTTGTCCACAATACTAGAATTTTAGTATTCTCTAATTATACCATAAAAAAATTAAAAATAAAAACATAACTTGAAAATCTCCAGAAACTCTAAATTGAAATTGAAATTTTTCTAGTTAACTTAATTAAAAGGCAATTTAAAAAATATTCTTTGGACTTCCTGGATATGATTGATGTATATTGTATATATATTAATTTTCATAGCCTTTTTTTTGGCTACACTTCCAGATTCCTACTAAAATGGCTGAAGAAAATTTTTTCGAATAAGGATAATACATATTTCTAAAAGTATTTGAAGAGAGTTATCACATGCTAGAAACAATTCATAATTCCTGAAAATAGACAAAAGACAAGATTAAGGAAATCAACAGAAATCATTGTTTCACCCAGAATAAAAGAAACCTGGGAAATAAATGGACAAGAACTTTGAAAAATTCCTTGGTAAAATCCTATGTGTCAGGCACGATTTGAGGAAAAGCTTGATACCATAAGTACATCAGCAAGTACAATATACAGTAAAAAAAAAAAAAAAAAGTGTGAAAATGAGTTAATCTCCCACACTTGTCAAATTGGCAAAGCTCAGTTATAGTTACTGCTTAGTGTTGGTGAGAATGTGACAGAACAGCTAATTCCACACATTCTGGTAAGAATATGACTTAATATAATCTTTCCAGAGAGAATTTAGAAAAATGCACATACAACCTGAAAATCATACTCTTTTCCCTAAATATTGTACCCAAGAATATTTATTTACAAGTATTTTCACCCAGCACTTTAAAAAATAATAATGAGTAATTGAGAAACATCTTAAAGTCCAAGACCAAGTATTAGTCAAATAAATTATCATGTATATATCCAATGATTTCTTGCAGCTATGATATTATAGAATATTTAATGCCTGGGGAAAGGATAAATATACTGTTAATAGGGAAAAAGTAATTTGTGAAGCTGTGTGATAACAGGTATATGAATGATATTTTCTATAATATTAGCCATAGTCACTCTGAAGTTTGGGATTAGGAATATGTGTTTTCCAAATTATTTATGTCTAATTATTCAGTTTTTTAGTGTAGATATTTTATTATAATGAGGAACTAAATTGTTCTTAAGATGCAAATAATCAAGAAATATGGGAATAAACTCATTTTATCATCTTGAACATTGAAATACCCAATTCATTTAAAATGCTTTGAGTTTACAAATCATTATAATCATTTTTCTTGAAACCAATGCAATATTTTCATAGATATTTCATCATTTTAACCTAATTTGTTTTTTTTTGAAAATCTGGATTCAAATTTCTGTTATTTATTGATATTTATAAGGGGCATCCCACACAGAATAGGAGCACAAGTCTTAGACTCAGAACTGGGCATGAAGTCTAGGTTTTCATCACTTTCTGTGACTTAATCAATATGATTTTCCATTTCCTTATTGATAAAATGGAATGATAAGAATTGCTAATATTTCTCAGCTACATATTACTATTCTAAGTGACTCTCATACATTAACTCATTTAATCCTCACAAAAACTCTATGAGGTTGGTGCTATTGTATACCCTCATTTTACAGCAGAGCAAACCGAGAGGTTAAGGCCCAAGGTCACACAGCTGTTCAGTCTTAATGCCTGAGCTCCTAACCACCATGTTCTGCTTATCTGATGGAGATCTGAGGAAGATCACAAGAGAAATTAAATATGTAATGCTTGTCAGTGTACTTGGCACAGCTACATAACTAAGCATGGCATGTAGCTGTCACCGTAGCACATAGAGCAGAGTAGTGTTCTAATATCTGCCCATAGGCTGTTGATATAATGACTGTGGCTCTCCTGGCTAAATCCTCATATTTATATAAATTTCTTTTAACCTTCAGCAAATCATCCAGATGTTTCCAAATATGTATCCATTATTCAAAAATAAAATATAATTTTTTTTTTAAATCCAGCCAGCTCTCTTGATATCCAATATTGCAGCCCATATTTCCTAGAATGATCAATGGAATTACATCATGTGCCACACAATGATGTTTTGTTCAACAATGTACTGCATATATGATGGCAGTTCCATAAGATTATAATGGAGATGAAAAATTCCTATTACTTAGTGCCATTGCGACATCATAACGCAATGCTTTACTCACGTGTTTGTAGTGATGCTGCTGAACAAACCTACTGCATTATCAGTGGTATAAAAGTATAGCACATAAAATTATGTAAGTACTTAATACTTGATAATAATAATAACTGACTTACTACTTAATGTATTTACTATACTGTACTTTTTATTATTATTTTAGAGTGTACTCTTTCTACTTATAAAAAATGTTTGCTGTAAAACAATATGCCAGGTTATGCCAGCAGCAGCCTCATAAGTCTCATGTTTACCAAATCTCTTTTTTAATATATATATATGTTTTTTATTTT